TTAGTAGCCACTTAGTTACAAACACTGGCCAAATATTAGTTTTTTGCTTTTTTAACACAAAAACAAATATGAATGCTAACTTTGGCCAGTGTTTGTGACTAAGTAGCTACTACAAAAGACTGGGCATACCCCACTTGCAATACCTTGGGTAGTCTACTTTTGCAAATGGTATGCCATCATGGGGGTAAATCTCATTCCTAGGCTACCACACAGTCTCAAAGGTAACATTACTAATCTGGCAAATTTCAATGTGGACAAACTGTTAATGGGGGCTACTGTTGTACTTGTGAGACTTTGCTGAATGCAAATATGTGCTTTTTTTGCGGTAAACCTAACAGTATTATGACATTTACAGCTAAAATGTGAGGCGGAACTACAAATATTTTTAAAAATGTAAAATTTCTCACAGTTTTTTTTATTTTATTCATAATAAATTGTTTCATATATAAATATTTGATATGAAATGAAAGCCCTGTTTCTCCTGAACAAAATAATATATAATAAGTGTGGGTGAATTACGGCTGAACAGACATATAGCGCAAATTCCAGTTTTTGTTTACATTTTGTTTTGATCAGAACGTGTACTATTGACTCCATCCTGAAGGGATTAAAGGACCACTATAGGCATCAGCTCAATGAAGTGGTCTGGGTGCCAGGTCGCCCTAGTTTAAATCCTGCAGCTGAAAACATTGCAGTTTCAGAGAAACTGCTATGTTTACACTGCATGGTTAGCCCAGCATCCAGTGGCTGTCTCCGTTCCACGATTTACACTCCTTATGGAGTGCAGCATCAAATAAGATCCACATAGGAAAACATTGAGTAATGCTTTCCTATGGGCAGGTTTGAATGCACACGTGCCTCTGGCTGTGCGTGCGCATTCGGCTCCACTTGGGAGCTGAAGTCGGCCGGGGAGGAGAGGTCACCAGCACTGAGAGAGCCCGGCGCTGGATTAAAGTAAGTGGCTGAAGGAGTTTTAACCCCTTCAGTGCCAGGGGAGAGAAGCCGCAAGGGAGGGGTGCTCTCCTAGAGCCTATAGTGCCAGGAAAACAAACATGTTAAAATACACTTAGAATACACATTTGTCGGTTTTGTAAAATCTCAGTTACATGAGTTAGACCAATCTGGAAATTAGTGGTACAATTTCCAAGAAAATAATGCAAAGTATAAGGAGTTGTGTTGCATAATTACATTTAGGTGTATACACTGTTTCACCAATAAAAAACAATGTGAACATATTACATAGTTATATTGGCTGAATAAAGACTTGCATCCATCAAGTTCCGCCTTTCACACATGCCTGTGCACCTAAAAGGACTGCGGGCGTTTTATGCCATTCTTTAGGGGCCATTCCTAAACTCCGGTTGTCCCCGCTGTCCTTACTATTTGCCGTCTCCTTGTCATTCCACCTGGGGCTTGCCTGACATCCAAGTTCAACCATCCAGGGCCATGTGATAATGGGGTTCTCGCGATTACATGGCGGGAATGGCTGTCAGCAGCTCTGCCTGCAGGGGGACTGCCTGGAATGTCAGGAAGTCCCCCTAATGCCTGCAAAAAAGATTTTAAAGATAATATAAAATTTAAAAAATAGTTTATAAATTCAATATAAGTACTTTTTTTTTTATATATCTCTATACATATAATCAAATTATTTTTAATATGCACATAAACATACACACACTATCATTCCATGTGTAATATTAAAATACACTTAGTATTAAATTAATTCAAGTAGAGATTGTAGCCGTATTAGTCCAGTGATGCAGAGGTTAAAAAAAAAAAAAAAAACGATTACATTGGTATCTTGTAATACCTATTTTATTGGATTAACAGAATTTTGTAATGACAAGCTTTCAGGAGAACGTCCCTTTCTCATGTCTTTGCTCAGAAATGCATTAGCATTAATATTTGTTTGTGTGTAAAAAAAAAAAAAAATGCAAAAAACTAATTTGAATGCCAATGTTTGCCAGTGTTTGTATCTATGTTGCTACTAAAAGAGACTGGACATACGCCATTTGTAACACCTTGGGTTGTCTACTTTTGCAAATGGTATGCCATCATAGGGGTAATTTTATGTCAAGACACGGAGGCTCATATTGCTTAACCCTTTCTTTAGTGTCCACCAATAGCAGCAAAGAATACAAACAGTAAGAAAAAATGGTAACCACAGTGATAAGCCACTCCTATATTAATTCCCAGTATAATAGTCAGTACCTCCCCACATATTTCTTCTTTCTTTGCTGCTCCACACAAAGATAAGTAAATGACGAATTTTCTCTTACGTATATATGTTTATTAATTATCATTGATTTCTTATTATTAATGCTATTTATTATTTTATTGTTATTATTTGTTGTAGACTCATTATTGCTTTATTTTCTACATATTATTACGAATGTCTTCTTCTATATTTATTGTGTATTATGCATTTGTTTGATACCTTTGAGCCCAGGATTCCAGACCTTCTTTGGGGAATTATTATTGGTACCCCTCTCCCTTGAGCTTCCTTTTGTTGCTCTTATCTTTTCTCCATTTGACTTATCTCCTTCTTGCTGTCTGTGGCTCCATTGATCCCTCTCCCTGTATATTTGCGCCCTTTTGCGCCTGTTTCTCCATTCCATTCGGCTGTTTTTTGTGAATGAATCAAGCCCGTTCGTCTAAATTCATCACGAAAACATGCCGTTCGTTAGTTTTACCGGCATATAGCATCATTCATCTGTTTGCCGCGTTCGAGTAATTTTATACGAATGGCCTACTCGTTCGTCTGTTTTTCTATTCATTACATTCATCTATTTGTTCACACAAATTCATCTCATTTTTGACAAACATTCGGCTCTTTAATTTGATGAATTCACATCCTGTCCTTCTGGCTCTGTGCTCTGCCACGCGTTCTCTTCCTGTCTGTCGGTCTTAACCCTGGTGAGCTCCCTATCTCTACCCACTAAAAGGTATAGCTAGTTTGGGGTGATTAACTCCTGCTAGTCTGTTCTGTCATTTTAGTTTTCCCCTGGGGAGATGGACATACCCCAAGTTTTGGGTAACCCCTCTTCCAGCTCTAATTACCCTTATTCTGCAGTGGACCCTATCCCAGTCCCTGGCGCTGCAGCGCTCAGTTACGGATGCCATTATGGCCGCTATGGCTCTCCCAGACCATATCACAGGCCTTACTTGCATGCCCTTTGGCCGCAGAAGGTTCGGCCACACCAACGCGCTTAGTGCATCCAGCTCAAGGCCTTACAGAGGACGCACCTAAAAAGGCTACTGCCAAATCCAGGCACATAAGTCCCCCTGACTCCAGAACCAATATGACGGGTGCACCCGTGACCACCAATGATAGCATGCCCATGTCACACAAAAGAGCCTTTCCGCACCAGGCAGAACGGGTGCGGCAGTGGAAATGTGCTAGAGCACAAAAAGAGAGCGACTCTGACTCAGAAATCAGGTCTAGTGAGGAGGCTGATGCTGAGATATGCGGGAAGGACACTGACCCTTTTGTCCAAGCTCAATCAGGGATGGTAGTGAGTGGCTCTCAGAGCTACTCCCCTGCTACTGCGGGCTCCACCCTCATGGATCCGTCTGGGGAACCCATGCTTGACCCAGATGCTCTCCATCATCCGAGGTCGGCGGAATGGCTCCCAGCGTACCATGTGGCACGCTACATGGAGAATTGGGTACGGTGCCCCCTTAGCAAGGCGGAGCGTAATAAACTCAGGACAGAATGTCCTAGACCTCTGGTGCCCAGCAAGTTTGTGAGACCCCTATTGTCGATCCCAAGATGACCCAATCCTCTCCAAATTGGGATGGAATCCCCACAAGAGCTTAGATTCGGTACTAAAATCATGCCAGGATAAACACCTGCACATATTTGGTCCTTTGGCCAAACTATTTGACCTGGCTGAAATCGCTGAAGCCGAAAACAGGCAGGTTGACCTGGAGGAACTCCATGGCTGGGTGCAGAGGGCAATCTGCATAGCGGGCAGTGTTAACACCTCCCTGTCCATAAAACGGCATAAAGCAATTCTTTTTAAAATTGAGCCCAAACTCGCCAACCTCGCCCTCACAGAGGCAGGCAAGGATGCCCAGGGCCTGTTATTTGGGTACTCCTTTATAAAGGACCTTGGGTGCTTTGTGGGTGCTTTTACAGCCCTGGATAAAAGGCCCAATCCTCTATGAAGAGGGTATTTCAGGGGCGGGTCTCTAGCAGGGCCTGCAGATTCAGGGGTCGTCTGTCCAGCCGTTCCAATTACCATGCCTGTGGATCGGGAAGAGGCTTCTACACCCAGGCACCACCCTACCAAGACACGAGACACCAATCCCCTTTCTTCCTCTCTCATGGAAGACCATGACGCTCCAGAGGCTTCAGAGGGAACTCCAGTTCTAGACGCCCTTACGGTAAGCTTACATCTACCTCATATTTTTTCCAATAATTGTGTAGGGGGCAGACTCAGTTATTTTTTTTCCAAGCCTGGTCAACCATCACCTCCGTTCAGGGATTTCACATCGAGTTGGTCGACACGCCATGTCACATACCTCGTCCTCGCCCTATTTTGCTCTCAGTGACCGCGCCTTAAAAGACGTGAAACTATCGGCCCTCCACGCAAAAGGGGCGATAGAACGGGCCCCCATATCCCCTACAGGGGTTCTCAGCAATATCTTCCTAGTATAGAAGAAGGGCGGGCAGATGCGCCCAGTTGTCAACCTCCGGACCCTGAACACTTTGGTGCGCTACCGCCACTTCAAGATGGAGGGCATTCATCTCCTGCGGGACTTGCTCCTTCGGGGAGACTGGATGGTTAAGTTACACCTCAAGGACGCATACTTGACGGTCCCAATGACCGAGGCGTCTAGGGACTTATTACGCTTCCTCTGGAAAGGCGACACCTGGTGCTTCACATGCCTCCCTTTTGGACTCTCGTCAGCTCCTTGGTGCTTCACAAAATTGATGCGCCCTGCCATGGCTTTGTTGCGATCGGCTGATCGTCTACTTGGACGACATTCTCATCATGGCACTGGATCATTCGGTCCTCCTGAAGCACCTGCAATGGATGATGGAACTCCTCTCTCACTCCTCCTGCCTGTCCCCTTCGCAGCGCATGGAATTCCTCAAGTTCACCGTAGACTCCGAAGCGGAATCTCTCAACCTCCCTCCGTTCAAGATACAGACCATCCGCAAGGAATTACACCGCACTCTAGCACGCCCGCAGCTATCGCTGCATCATCTGACTTCATCAATCTAAGCGGTGTTCCCAGCCCCTCTCCACTACTGTACCCTCCAATGTCTGAAGATTGCACACCTTCACAGTGGGGTGTCCTGGTCTCTCTGGACTCGGAATCTCGGGACAAATTGACCTGGTGGATCCACAACCTCTCGGCTTGGAATGGCAAGGCTATCTTCAGTTCCCAACCGGAGTTCAGGGTGTATTCAGATGCAAGTTTCCACGGTTAGGTGCCCACTGCAATAGTGTGACTACCGGGGGATGCTGGTCGGACGACGAATCCTATCTCCACATCAATGCCCTGGAACTTCTGCCCGGCTCTTTCGCGATCTGGAGTTTTGCAAATGAGACTGCCAGTGCATGCATCTGGCTGAGCATGGACAACATCTCCACAGTTCGCTATGTCAATCACATAGGCAGCACGCAGTCGGCTATTCTGGCCCACTTGGCGAAGGTCTTTTGGGCCTATTGTTTGGCCAGGAATCTCGTCGTCCAGGCGGAATACCTCCCCGGTCTCAGCAACACTCATGCGGACTGGAGTTCACGTTATCTGTCGGACAGCAGCGATTGGAAATTGGATGTAGAGGTGTTCTCCACTATTTCGTCTCTCTGGGGACCTTTTGCCATCTACCTCTTCGCATCCTGCCTCAACATCCAATTACCTCGGTTCTACAGCTGGCGCCCAGATCCAGCCGTCGATTCGGTGGGCGCCTTCCTGCAAGACTGGACCGGCTCACTCCTTTACGCTTTTCCTCCGTTTGCCATGATCCCTCGGGTCCTGCTCCAAGTGCGCCGCCAAATGGCTTATCTGATACTGCTGACCCCGTTCTGGGGAACCTAATCATGGTTCCCACAGCTCCTAGAACTGGCAATAAATGTGCCCAGACTTCTGCCATCCTACCAGGTCCTTCTTCTGGACACGTCGGGCTAACAACACCCCCTCCAGTTGGACGGGTCATTGCTGCTGCTCGCATGGAGGATTTCCGGGGTCCCTGGGAAATCCAAGGGGTTTCAGATGCAACTCGATGCCTCCTGGCTGACGCATGGGCTCCCGGAACTAGGCGATCATATGGGACCACTTGGAGAGCTTGGGCTGGCTGGTACCTGGCTCGGAACTTGGATCCCATTTCAGCACCGGTGACTGCGATCCTCCAATTCCTCACTTCATTAATAGAGGCTGGTCGGCCGTATCGCACAATTAATTTGTACAGATTGGCCATCTCCTCGGCTCACCTCATCTACACACAGGCCAACACCCTTTGGTGTGCTGCTTACTTCGGGGTTTGCGCCTGTCGCGCCCCCCCTAGACCTTGATACTCGGCTACATGGGACGTTTCCTGCGTTTTTTCACTTTTTACTTCCTGGCCTCCCAATTCGGATCTCTGCCTGCGACAGCTGTCGGCCAAGTTAGTCTCCCTTTTTTGCCTCATTTCATGCAAACGGGTTTTGGATGTACGTGCTCTGGACTATGATGCTAGGTCTTTCACTTCGGACGGGGTGACATTTAACATCTCCAGAGACATTAAGACAGCTGTTTGATGGTTTCATATCCGAGTTTTCCAGTTACCCTGGTGTTATGTCCATTGACCTGTTTGCGGGAAAATGAGCTCCGATCGAGTGCACATCGTTCTGTTTCGTCCCCTCAGCTTTTCCATAAGGTTCATCAACCCTTTGCCCCTGTGTCCAATATTACCGTGGCTCATTGGGTGAAATGGGTGATGTCGCTTGCTGGTGTGGATACATCCATCTTTAGTGCCACTCCTCACGGGGGGCATCAGCCACGTCTATGGTGGCTTCGGGGGCGCGACTGGAAGACCTGATGATGATGGCGGACTGGTCCCCTGAATCCACTTTTTGGGGAGACCAGTATTGTCCCACCCTTTTACGTTTTTATCACTTTATTATCCCCACCCTGTTGTTTTTCTCTCCAAGGTTTGTCTCCAGGGGATGGTAGGTATTTGTGATGCGCTCTGTGTTATATTACCTATTATGTGCATCTGAACTGTTAATGCTATGTTTTGTCTGGTGGGTTTTGTCTTATGCTATGGGCACTGTGTTGCTTGAGTTTATCAATACATTATGTCTTGGAATGCACAATTTGGTTTAAGTACCGATTTAACCATTTGGCTCCTGTTTTTATGTTTTCAAAGGTTGATTCTGTGCTGATTCTGTGCTGTTTGGGAGATCTTCACTACTTCCCACAAGGCTTCACCATGTTGGCTGGAGGTCTATGGATCGTGCTATGATGTGCTCCTCTCTGTTGGCGTTTCTCTATTCGTTGATGGATAGGTCCCAGTTTGCTTATGGTTCCTGATCGGTTCCGGCTGGATTTCGGGACAGTTGTTCTGCTGTGGTTTGGACTGATTCATCGGTTTATGTTTGATAGTTATTGTGTCGCATCTCCAAAGAAAGAGGAAATATGTGGGGAGGTGCTGACTATTATACTGGGACTTGGTATGGGAGTGCCTATCACTATGGTTACAATTTTTTTTACTGTTTGTATTCTTTGCTGCTATTGGTGGACAGTAAAGGAAGGGTTAAGCAATACTCGCCTCTGTGTCTTTCATAAAATCATGACTTTTCGTCATGAAATAGCAATATCATGTAATTCTCAATCCTGGGCTACCATACGGTCTCAAAGGCAATGTAACCAATCTGGCGAATTTCAAAGTGAAAAAAAACTGAAACACAAGCCTTATATAGTACTCTGTTACATTTGAAAACACCATAAAACCTGTACATGAGGTGTACTGTGATACTCAGGAGAGTTCGCTGAACATATATATATCGTCAGTGTAAATGCTGCTTGTGTGTGAAAAATGCAAAAATTTCACTTTCCCTGATTATATCATCATTGTAATACATTTTACTGTTTTGAAATACTAATATTTGTATTCAGCAAAGTCTTCCGAGTAAAATAGTACCCCCCATGTACAGGTTTTATGGTGTCTTGGAAAGTTACAGGATTAAATATAGTGCTAGCATATTTCATTCTCTGGACTTTCTGCCTATCCCGCATAATTTAGGTCCCGCAAATTATAATTAATAAAATGACTTAATCATGTAAAAATATTACATAAATATATATGTAGAATTAAAACAAACAAAAAATAATATATATATATATATATATATATATATATATATATATATATACAAAACAAGAGAGGGCTGGCTGCACTCACCTTAACATGCACAAATGGGGGTGCTGCTGGGGGCCAAATAATACAATACACAAGATCCAGCGCACTCACCTATCCACTAAACAGCAACTTCAATGTTGAAAGATTTTATTTGTTTGTTTTTTTAAAACACCTAATCTAGGCAAAAATAATGGGGGTTTAGTTACATTATATGATCATACAGTGCATAAGCCTGCCACAACGTCAATGTACCCCATCTTTGGCAGGTCCTACACTAACAGCCTAATGTCTGCTCTTATGAGATTAACCTACTTGGGGAAAGAAATTCCATCTGGGGCTAAACCCCCATTATTTTTGCCTAGATTAGGTGTTTTTAAAAAAACAAATAAAATCTTTCAACATTGAAGTTGCTGTTTAGTGGATAGGTGAGTGCGCTGGATCTTGTGTATTGTATTATTTGGCCCCCAGCAGCACCCCCATTTGTGCATGTTAAGGTGAGTGCAGCCAGCCCTCTCTTGTTTTGTATATATTTGGGAGTCTAGCCAACTCCTTGGTTTTGCACCCCTCCCAGGTGCCTCATCCCAGGGCCCTATTTAGCCTTGTACTGCAGAGAGCCCCAGATGGAATTTCTTTCCCCAAGTAGGTTAATCTCATAAGAGCAGACATTATAAAAATTATATATATAATTTTTGTAAATTCATTTAAAATTATTTTTAAGTTTTTTAATTTATATTAATTTACTTATTTGTATTTATTTTAATATATATATATATATATATATATATATATATATATATAATAGTGTGTAATTTAATTCTAAGAGTATTTTTATATTAATATATGTATACATTAATATAAAAAGTGTATTTTTATATAAATATATGAATATATTAATATAAAGATACACTTACTATGACATAATATATATATATATATATATATATATATACATATTATATATAGGTATAATACATGTGTATATATATACATATATATTTTTTTAACACTGATTGCTTTTATATTGCTTTTTTTTTTAAATTTATTTGACACTTGCAGGGAGACTGCCTGTCAGCACAGGCAGTCCTCCTGCAGGCGAACACTTGGACACCTATTATGGCCATGTGACCACTCTGTTGAGCGATCACATGGCTGCGGGGTCCTAATTCGCCGCAGCCGCCGGGGGAACGACGGAGATCGGGTAAGTACATAACACTGTTATGACGGTTCAGGACAGTCACTGGTCCTCAAGGGGATGTTTTCCGGTGACGATCCTGAACCATCATCGGTCCTCAATGGTTAATATCATTCTACGTGTATTTTTGGTATTTTGATTAATATTGAAATACACTTAGTGTATGTATGTGTAAGTGTGTGTGTATATATATATATATATATATATATATATACTTAGATCATATATATTGTTTTATTTTACATTGTTTTTAACTTTATTTTAATTTATTTCTGGCATCAGGGGGACTACCTGTCATTCCAGGTACTACCCCTGCTGGCACTGCTATGGACGGCTATTCTGTCCATGTGATCGTGAGGTCCTCGGAAGGACCTCGCGATCACATGGCCCAGGAGTGCCGGATCGGCAGCAGGGGGACTCTCTGGGTTGCCAAGTAAATCCCCTCATTATGAGCAGGTAAGTCCCCTGGACGGCGGGAACGTACTATGCAGCCCACCAGTGTTTAAGGCGGGGTCCCCAAGGACGGCATAGCCCTGTCCTTAAGGGGTTAAAATACTCATATTTGTGTTCAGTGAAGTCTCCTGAGTTTAATAGTACTCCATATGTACAGATTTTATGGTGTTTTCAAAAGGTATAGGGTC